GGAAGGAGGATTCGAAGATGAGAAAGTTGCCAAGCGCAAAGTTTATGTCAAAAGGCCTATCTGGATTAAAGTTCCAGCGGACGACACCGGGCATTGGTTGCTTCGGATTGGTTGCGAAAATAATGCTTCCCGTTCCTGTGATGAGACCCAAGTAAGTATATATTATTGTTGTACGGCGAATAATATTATGGATCACATACCCGCTGGAAAACCTGCTCTCGGCAGGATATCTTGTAGTCTGCTATTAAGATTCTTGACTCTGTGAGCCATGTCCTCCATCTTGGATTTATCTTCGCTTTCGATTTTGCTAGTTTCTCCAATGACCATGTCGAGAGTCAATTTTACGGCCGGGGAAGCTGAGAGCCATCCTTGAGTAGCACCAGGATCTGGGGTGAAACAGAGTTTGTGTTGACCTGCATCTGCAGCGGAGAATGTGAACCGTCCAGTATCACTTCCGCGTTGGAATACAACACGGTGATCGTTGTCAAATGTTTCATCGACTGTGATTGTAAGCGTGAGGCCAGGGTCCGTGGTGTAGGCGTTGACTTCGTTCTTGAAGACTTCAGCTTTGTAGTTACCTGAGGACGAGTATGGTTAGTACACAGAATCCAGCCCGGACCATCATCGTTTCTGACGCGATATAATGAAGTTGCCATGGGATTAAAACAAAATACTCACCAACAACTAAAGTTCCTTGCGGCATATCTTCGAAGAAGCATTTTTGCTGCCGTGGCTGGACGTAGAAGTAGAGGGAGTGGGCCGGAGTTGATAGAGTGAGAATCGTGACAATTGCGAAAAAGGACGGCAGCCAGGACTGCGAGCGCGAGGAGGCCATGATGGAGAGTCAAGCCAAACCCGCAACGGAAATTGAGAAGAGTCTCCTGAGCTTTGTGCGTGCGTTGGCTTGAAAGGCTAAAGGGGCTCTTGTTGCTTGACAGAATGTTGAAGTGTCCACTCCAGGATGTCAAGGACAATGCAAACACTGCAAACATCTCCTCCGAGTCTCCAATCTCCATTTAAACACTGTAAAATTCCATCATTGATCATCAATAACCATCGCCCTTCGATCGTTGCTTCTCTTTCTATTAGACCATATGCACGTCAGCGACTTTTAGAGCTTCTAAATTACCCCTTCTTGCGACCCTTCCTCCCAAATCGCCGCCATGGCTGCCGCAGATGTCCGTGACATGCTGGATCTTCCCGCAGACGGCGGCCCACCTAGACCTCATAAGAAACAGAAAGTCGTCGAAAAACGACCAGGTAAGTGGATTTTAAGCCCGACTTTGCAATGCGCTGCTAATGTGTATCCCTAGAAGGTATTACCCGGGAGCTCTTTGCTCTTTTAGGCGAACGTGCCCCTCCTATCGCTCTGAACGAGAATAAATACAAGGGACGGCGGAAATGGGTGAGCAAGCTGAAAGTAACGCCATGGTAAGGCATCTTGTGGCCTTGCATATTTGAGTAATCCGCGACTGACGTGCGTATGTTGTATAGGGCGATGGCCCCGTTTCAAAATTCCGCTCGATCTGATGGGCTTGTACTCCGACACTGGCAAAGAAAACAAGCTCCCATTATTGAAACGGCAGCGGCTGATGGGGAAGATAAAATGGAAACTGAGGCTCCGGAACAGAAACCGGAAAATGTCTATGCATTTGCGAAATACAACGTGAAAGCCCAGGTCCCCAAGCGGTATAACGATGACCAATACAATCGCTACCTGAAAAGCCATACGTGGAGTCGTGAAGAAACAGACTATCTTATGGATCTCGTCGAGGAATATGATTTGCGATGGGTCGTCATTGCTGACAGATACGAATACCCCCCAAACCCGCCACTTACAAACAGTGATTCCACCGCTCTTGTTACAACAACTCGACGTCGAACAATGGAAGAGATGAAATCGCGTTATTACACTGTTGCTGCGAACATGTTGGCACTTGAGCACCCACCTTCTGAGATGTCTGAAACAGAATTCAACCTCCATGAGAAGATGATGAAATATGATCCCGAACAAGAAAAGGTTCGCAAGGATTTGGCGATTTTGCAATTGAACCGATCTAAGGACGAAGTTAATGAAGAGACTTTGCTACTCGAGGAACTCAAAAGGATTGTGGCCAACGAGAAAAATTTTATAGAAGAGCGCAGAGAGCTTTACGCCAGACTCGAGGCTCCCATCAGTACGAGCAATACTACGATGTACCAGTCTAGCCAAGGCCTATCACAACTTCTCCAATCCCTCCTCCATGCTGATAAAACAAAGAAACGGCGCTCAATTATGGGGCTTGAAACCGGCACATCAAGCCCAGCCAGCCTACCAAGCTCACAACAAAACCCCCCACAGAGCGCTCGGGAAAGTCGACCTCAGACGCCTGCTGCTCCGGCGCCAACACCGACAACTACCAAGAAAGCAGCCAACACAGCAGCTCAGCAACCAGCCATCAAAGCCCTCACTCCGGCCGAAGAGGCCAAATATGGCGTCACACGCCACGACCGCCTTACCTCAGGCGTTCAGTTCCGCAATGACAAGGCACATAAGCTCACACAGGCCAAATCCAACATCCAATCTCAGAAACTCGCTGCTGCGCTTACTGAGCTTTCTATCCCACCCCGACTCGTCATGCCAACAGAGAAGGTGTGCAAGGAGTTTGAAAAGCTGATACATTCCGTCAATCTCTTGCTCGACGTGCGCAAGTTTATGGAGAAGGTTGAGGGCGAAATTCGTGTGCTGGAGGCTGCTAAGCAGGAACGAGAAAGGAAGGAGAAGGAGCGACTGGAAGCGGAGGCTAATCAGACGGGTGAAGGCGCCGCGGAATCAGGACAGGGAAATAAGGGTGATGATAAGGAGGGCGAAATGGAAAAGAAAGGGGCCGGGGAGGGAAGTGACGTGGGGGAAGATAAGAACGTCCCTGCTGCAATCTCTGTTACCAATGGTGCAGATTCACCGGTGACGAAAGGACACGATGAAGCTGGCCTTGCTGTAGCCGAAGCGGACGAAAGATCGAAAACGGCTGGGTCTGAGGGAAGAGGAGCGGGGACAGCTGGCTCTGAAGGGTCGCACAAACGAAGCGCCAGTGTCTTAAGTGCGGTCAGCGACAAGAGCATGAAGAGGCAGAGGAAGTAGCATGATGAGAATTATTATTTGTTTACTTGGGTTCGCTCGGTGTTTTACGGAATGTGATGGATTGGGATAGCTGAATTTAGGTTGTTACTAATTATGGCCTTTTATTCTTCTTTAATTTTATACTCTATTCGCCCATAAGTTTTAAAGTGTAAAATTTTGCTCGATTGATGAACGGATCGTACTTTATCCGTTTGGGTCTTTTACGCCAGACCGATTGATGGGCAACAGAATTAGAATTAAGAGTTTCACCTGCTGGCAATAGTTTTGCTTTACTATCTTGCATCGAATTGTGAATTGCTAGACTGGTTATTGCCGAGGAGGATAATAGGTAATTCTTTGTTCTATCCAATGGGACCGGATTAGACTGTCAATACTTCTCTGCTGATAGGATGAAGCGGAACTGAATACACCAAAAATATTCGACTAATTAACATGTTCTACAACACTATCCATCCACCGGTTGTACGTTATATCAATGCTGAAAGGTGTTATATAGGAGAGGGTAAAAATAGTGGCACACACTCCAAGAGTGGAATCCTTATAAGGGTGCTATACAAACAAATACGTCAAAAAGTTTGGTTGCGAAATTATGTAGCTTTGCGGAACGGGAAATGGGTCACAGGCCCCATGTAGAACAAGTTAATGATACTACTCTGTTCCCCACGTCTGCTTAACAAGTTTCAACAGACCATCCTTCGAGCCCACTTCGTTCAAAAGTTGCTCTTCTTTGAAGTCCACAGTTGAATCGCGGAGATCCATGCTTCTGGATACCCGACGATGCCCCTCACTATCAATCAGGACCTTCCCAAGTCCTTCTTCCGTCCCATGTTCAAATGTAACATCGTCGTCGCCAGAGAACAACCCGATACAATCTTCATACAAACGTGACCAGGCATCTGCAGAACATGGATCTGTGGGAGCGTCCATGCCGCTCCCACCGAAAGTAGAGAAACCCAACCGGCATGGTAGAGGAGCAGGGTCGAGCATCCTGCTCCATGGAGTCCGCTGTTCACTTATCCTCTCGCTCGATCCCCAAGCTTTCAGCTGCTGATTATGCCGCTTAATTTCGCTTCTGATATCTCCAATTTGCTCAAGAATAAGTTGACCGGTTGGTCCTCCGGGAATAATTTCAAGATCCGGATCCTTCAGGTCGTCGCTCCTGGAGGTTTCCCTCCTATGGCCTGCCCGATATCGTCGGCGATCAACGGAATCGGAACGATGTAACCTAACCCAGTTGAACAAACCCTTACCCTTTTTAATAGAAGGCAATGAATCGGATTTATCGTTTGACATTCTTGGTAATGGGAGCGAGTTTGTGTCTTGGCTGTCCTTGGGCGTATCTATGGATGCAAAGTCACGAGCAGCAACGTTATCGGACTGCCCAGCAGATCCGTTTCTCGCAATCTTAGAACGGCTTGGGAACCTGGCCCACGACGAGAAGAGTTCTTTGCTAATATCACAATCAAAGAGGTTCCTCTCAGACGTCACGAGTTCCCCGCAACTGACAACGTTCCGATCTTGGTTGCAGTGCGACTCGACCGGCCCTTGTGCCTGATTCCTGGTTACAATTGATTCCCCGGAAGCTTGTGAGAAGCATTTTAAACTTCTTTCTCTGCCCGTAAACTCGACTAGATCACGTAGATCGGTCTCAGGTGTGGATTCTTGATACATTAACTGCACTATATCGCTTGTTTCTGAGTTTGGGAGTTTGCCATCATCCTCCATCACAAAACGATAGCCGTAACCACGACGCTTCCCATCAGACAGCCATCCATCACTGATGCTTCTCATGTTCGTGTATTTTTGGATGCCATTGGAGTTCTGAATGGCTGAATCGCTAGCGCTACTGGAATGTATATCGACGAAATTCTCGATGAATCTGCTTTCAGTCCGATATTTGTTATTGCGTGGATAAGCAGAGGAGTTTTGGCTAGTGGCATTTGGAGTCCTTTCCGAGCATAGTTGTTGGCGGTTTAGTAGATCAAAGTATCCACCGCTAACTGCTGCCTTTGCACCAGATGCCGCAGCGACATGGCTAGCCTTCGGCGGGGTCAACTCGAGCTGGAAATCCGACGGTGG